GGGGGGGGAGACTACTGCGATATGAAACCGGAACCACAAGTTGCTTTTTTTACTTTATTAATTAATTCATTTTATATTGGACATCAAAGTCCGATCCAACTACGAAACAACTTTATCAATCCGATCCAAAATGAATATTTTGGTTCCGAAATCCGAACAAATCGGATTTGCACACCTCTATTTCATACAGGCGAAATTCTGACCATATACTTTTTATTGGATCATGCTTGTAAGCGTTTCCACTTTGAAGAAAAAGTTTGTGGAAAATGGAAATTTGAGGCAATATGATCATAGATCTATGAATATGTACTAGGAGTTACTATCGCAAGGAAAATGCTGCCGATATGTACATGCAGGATGTACTACAACCAAAAAGTGTCTTTTTCATTGTATGTTTCTACATCAATTACCTCGTACAATTGTATCTCACCTTATAAAAAGTGCGCTATAAAGTATAAACTCAGTGGTCAAATGTGTATGAGCGTGGAACATCTATCCAGGGACAAAACTTGAGGGGAGTGTGACACCCCCCACCCAAGTACAAATCGTCTGGATTGGCAGGGTAAATCATCTGGAGCAATGAAAGATTTTAAATGATAGATTGTAGAGTTTAAATAGCTTCCAGGGCTTCCAGAGGGAATTGAGTAGAATTTATAGACCTAAATTGTACAGATATTGGTAAAAAAAATAAAGGTTTCATGCATGTTTTAACAGGAATTTGTCAAAAAAAATTTTCTGACCCTTAATGTAACTGGTTTAAGTCCGGAAAACTTTTTTCGCCCCTTTTTTGAATGTCTGGAAAAAAATTTAATTTTTTAACTCACCCCTCCCCCCCCCCACTCGCCAACTTTTTTGGGGAGAAATAGTGCCCCCAAAAAATGTTTGCTGCAGGGCATCATCAGCTTTTGCAGGGCAATTCTAGCAGACACCCTCCTAATTAAAAGGGGCTAGTTTTGCCCTTGTGTGTATTGTGGGTTAACTTTAAACTACAGTAAATGTTGTACAAGCAGCAATAATAATCTGTAATTCTTGAACAAGATCTTCTATACAACATTCAAGGTCTGTTTAATCAGCATTTGAACTTTCGTTTAGCCTAGTGACTTATTTCAATGCATCAAAACAATTGTGCAGCCCCTAAGATACCTGTTCAGGAGGTAGGAAAAGTGCAATTTGAATATCAAACACCTTGCACAAAGTCAAAGGTCGGCTAAATGTTCTAATTCTATGCTTATAATTTCTTGCTTTTTTGCTTGCTCTTGTACATATAATTGTAATATTGTCAGTGCATGGCAAAGCTAGCCATAGCAATAGGTCATGCTATGCAAGTTTTTAACGAATTACATCATTCAAATAAATGCAGGTTTATTAGCATATAGCATGTTCAAGCACAAGCATACTCAGTACTGAGCATGATCAGTAATTACCATGGCCAGCTTGCCACTGAATGCAGTTGAATGTTTATATAAAAATACTAAGTCAGTTTTTGTTGCAATTATCATTTTATTGCCACTTTCAGCCCCCCCCCCCCAAAAAAAAAATCACTTTTTAACAATGGTCGGTAATAAAATGATATTATTTCAGTTATGCATGATGTAGACAAAAGGTATTTTTAACATTTTGTTACATTTAGAACTAAGGTAAATCCCCTTGCAAAGTGCATGGAATAGTATTACAGAGACTAAAGTTTTTAAAATTTCCCTGGGGACATGCCCCCAAACCACCCATAGAATTAAGATCATACTCAAAACTGCAAAACTATATTTTAATATTAAAGAATGTAGACCAGTAGAATTTTTTCATATTATGCTATAAACAATGCCAAAGGGCATATTAATATCTCGGATATTTATATATATTTTATATATAATACAATAGTCAGTTGACACTTGACATGCTATAATATGCAGACAACAATCCACATTGGGTTGCTATAAAAATTTTGTCATAATAAGCTTGATTTAACAACATCCCGCGTTTGTTTTTAAACTATAAACATCTAGAATTAGAAACGGGACGTACCGAACACTATTATAAACCCATCGTCTTTGCACATGCGTATATTAATATAAAGTAACATAACAAACAAATAAACTAAAATATATGACTAAAAGTAGCCTACATTAAATTGTCATTTGACTCCTTGCATTATTGCATAATTGTATCAATATAAAGGCATTATTGACAAACAGATCAGTGGGCTATGTTAACTGCCGATATATTCTTGAAATCAAATTGTTTCAATACCTCTTTATCGAAGTTCAATACACTAAACAAGTATAAACAGCAGATTTAAATACAAATGCCTTCATGTATTATGTATATCACCAGACATCACACGACTACACGAGAAAGAAATAAAGCCATCCTTACCTGAATTATTCAAAATATTGTCGATCATTCATGCCACCGGGCTTTATTTACCCATTCATCTTCACACATATTACTCGGAATTTTATGACAATTCGCATTATTTTATTGATTATATTTCTGTCCGTTTATAATAGTCGCCATGTTGTAACACAACCCCCCGGGAACAAAAAAATAATATCAAAACAAACAGTTTTGGCCCGTCCGCGGATGACAAAATGACATAAATCGAGATTGTAGCAGCTATAAACGAGTGTATCTAAAAGTCGAGGGTCGAGAGTCGAGAGTATAGGTCGAGAGTCGAGAGTAAAAGTCGAGAGTCGAGAGTAAAAGTCGAGAGTCGAGAGTAAAAAGTCGAGAGTCGAGAGTAAAAAGTCGAGAGTCGAGAGTAAAAAGTCGAGAGTCGAGAGTAAAAAGTCGAGAGTAAAAAGTCGAGAGTCGATCGAGAGTAAAAAGTCGAGAATTGGCAAATGCCATCAGAAACAACAAAGTCAAAATATTTTTAACCACGTTTACATAGCCATTCCGTAACAAGTACCAACGGCTGAAATACAAACTTTCCAATAAATATTGCTACAACAGTCAATAATAATGTGATAACAAAAACAAAAAGATTGGATAAGAAAATAATATCGCATTTGATGCCTCAATCTTGCTAAATGTTTTCACATGTCATTTCATTCTGACGACACATAAACGCGGCTGAATTTTGACAGCCATCTCCAGGCTTGTAACTAAAATGTCACTTATTCATTAACGTACGTTTATATCAAACGAGAGCGTATTAAGAAATCCACGTTGATCACAATCTAACGATTCATACAATTGTGAATTCATAAATACGAGCCAGTAAAAACAGTAGGATTCTTTTGCTCTATTAACTATGTTTTGTCGTATGTGTGACTCTATCGGGTGGTAATATGTCTCGCACGTGATTAAAGTCCTAGTATTTATATGTAGCTTCACATACGAGTAATTTTTCGCGGAAATAGGTGCATGTAAAAGCGGGAAGGATGGACAGTAATATATAAGGAAGCGATAAAACTAGTTATTTATAGATAATAGTTATTATTATTGAATGTTGTGGCTAAATTTTTGAGAAAAGTTTTGTTTTATATTATACTGGATTATTCCTTTGATTGTATATGCCTCTTGTTTACTTTAATTTCGAGAATTTGAGCTTACTAATTATGTTTCGCAAATATTGTTTGCTTTATGTTCCGATACACAGGAAATGAAATTAGTTCAGCCGTCATAGGCGTACGGGCGGGAGCCAGAAAGAAAATTTACCCGACTTTTACCCACTGAATAAAATTTTCCGTGTAACTAAATTCTCCGTGTAACAAAAATGTTTTCCTATTTGTCGATTCCTCGTTACTTTTACATATTTCTGGTGTTTTCAAATACCATATTGCATGTATCTTTTTAAATTTATTCCCCCAATTTTTGCCCAAATTTATACGTTTATAATTTGCATGACTTTATTTTGACTGGGGAGCGGGACTGCCTCCCCCCCCCTCGCCCGTACGGCTATAATCAGCCGTTGTTACGGATCGGTTATATATTGTGTTAAAAATATTTTGACCCCCCAATGTGTTAATGTGTTGTTTCTGATGACATTTGCCGACTCTCGACTTTTTACTCTCGATCGACTCTCGACTTTTTACTCTCGACTCTCGACTTTTTACTCTCGACTCTCGACTTTTTACTCTCGACTTTTTACTCTCGACTCTCGACTTTTTACTCTCGACTTTTACTCTCGACTCTCGACTTTTACTCTCGACTCTCGACTCTTACTCTCGACTCTCGACCTTTACTCTCGACTTTTAGATACACTCGCTATAAACTCGGCGGTCACGTGGTAAGCACACCACGTGTAAAGATTAGTGTGCTGCCTCGCTACGCTCGGCAGCAATTAGGGACATTTATCCTTGGATGTGGAAGCACTGGCTAAAAAAGTTAAAACCGAACAGACCTACCCAGCTACCCTAAGTTTTTACACAAAGAAATAGGAAACCTACATTTTTTGGCCTAAGAGAAGTTAGTTATCAGACGTTGTTGCATGCTATCGCCCTCCTCAGACGCCACAGTGACAAAGCATTCTACTGGTAAAACCAGCAAAAATGAAGGTTACATTTATACCTCAATGAGTTGTAGTCTTATTTCATCAACAATTTCTCATGATTTTCGTGTTGCAGACGTTTTTAGCCTTGTTGGTCATTTGTTTTGGCAATACAAACGTTTCTTTTTGCCACTAACCCCAGCATCTTTACTTAAAGATCACGTTATATTTTCTCAGCAGTATTATTTTAACTATATTTCCTTTGTAACTGGGCTTGTAAAAAAGTATTATGCACGCGTCGTGCAAACGTAACCTTGGTGACGTACACAGCAAACCCAATCTTCAATTTTTACTTTGCATACTTGGCACACTTGACTATTACCAAATAAAACCGTCCTGCGTTAGGGGCTGTTCAAAGGGCCTTTTTTTCGTCTTTTTTATACACCCTGTAAACATGTAACTGCTGTCTAAACTACGTGAATTACGTTGTTAATTATGAATAAACACGTAAAACAAATATGTGAATATGTACTTTTTATTTATTTCATTACAATCATGAGAAAATTATTATTTATGTATTTGATGGCCTACAAAAAAAAAGAAAAATCATTGAATCACTTATTTTATTTAAACTGAACAGCTCTATCTTTTCACACTAGAGGTCCAGTCTATCAAGTGTTACTTCAAAAGAAATCCGGTGCGGTGAAAAAAAATGCGGTGTTTGTTGGCAGAGTCAAATCTGGAAGAATTATTCTCATATACGACTGAGGCGAAATTAGAATCAGTTTACAATCAACTAGAATCGCCCCCCCCCCCTTCCCCCCTCCTACTATCTGCCACTGCTTTTAACCAAATTTCCCCCAGGTAATTTCACCAGTCTATTGTTCTTACCTCGCCCACTCTACGTTAAGAATAAGATGGTCGTAACCAAGACCCGAGACACACTTAATCGCTTGAGCAGCGTCTTCACGTCGAACAAAATTGATAAAAGCGAATCCCTGAATAGGAAATAAAAATACATTACAAATGCCCGGAAATTGAAGGGCGAACAAACTAATGTATCGGTTTAGTCGTCGCCCTGGAAAATTTCGACAGTGGCCATTGTTTAAAAAATGTATAGAATATATCTACCTTGGATTGGTTGGTGATTTTATCTTTTGCGAGATAAATTCGAGATATGGGTCCAAAAGGTCGGAAGAGTTCCTGTAAATCCGACTCTCTGGTGTCTTCTGATAGGTTAGTCACACGTATGGTTGCTGTCTCGTCTGTGGAAAAAAAACAAAGACATACCAACTCTTTTAAAAATAATGTCTTACCCTATTGGGTCATGGTATTCTGTTAACAGATTCTCCATTACTAGGTTCCCAGGCTTCGATACTTGTCAAACACATATCCTTACTACCAAACACTATGATCAGGTTTCTAATCAAGCCATGATTTACCTCTGTTTCTTGAACTCATCATTTCTCCTCTTCCGCTGGCTCCCTCGCGTCGTCCGGGTGCAACATATTTTCCTCCTGTCTGATTGAGATTTGTAGGTTTACTACCACCTTCACCACTGCTATCTGAACAACATTGTTAAGGAAGTTACAACAACTTAAGCCAATTAGCCTTTCTCACGAAGGCCAAATCCGCCATTTTTTGGGTACTGTCTGCCCTCGTGAAAGATTCTAGACAATTCAAACAACGTGAGAAGCGACTTTTAAAAGTTGTAACTGTAAATTTACCACAGTAAGACTTTTTTTAAATGTGTTTATTACATTAACAAACGACGTTTCGGAGATTTACTCCATCTTCAGGTAAATTGTAATCTCAACTACCTGAGGATGGAGTGAATCTCCGAAACGTCGTTTGTTAATGTAATAAACACATTTAAAAGAAGTCTTACTGTGGTCTATATATTGAACACAAAATATACTATTAACATGAGACTTAGGAAAAGTTCGTTCCTAAACATTTTGTAAATTTACCATTATACAAACAAGACGCGAGACAGACCGGACGCGAGACACACTGAACGCGATTTTTCAGTTTTTGAACAGCCAATGAAAGGAATTTTAAAAGATATGTAGACCAAATAACTCAAAATGATATAGCGTTTCTAAATATTTGGAAAACTTAAACCAGGATCAAAGTTATCGGTCAGTGAAAATCGAAATTTTGTTATATCACCACAGCACTAGTTAAATACTATAAATAAGTCCAATATTAATAATTAATTTAATTTGACACTTTGATTGAATAAAGCAAATTCTTAATTTTAATTTGCTGGAAATGTCTATAATGAAAATACAAATCGAATATTCAAATGTGAAAAAATTTCCATTTTTCTTTCATACATACAATCATAGTCTCAAGAGAATCTGGGATGTATATTTTATATAATTATTAAATTATATTTATTCAACATATCTGGAAATTGTAACCGAGAAACTAGTTGCACTTTCATGACAGCACACTGCTAGCCAGTGCTGGGTTCGGTGTGCTTGGTTGCTCGCCAAGCACCCCCTAAAAAACCTTTCCAGATCCACCACTGAATTTCAGACCCTGGACTTAATTGGACCCAAAGATTGTTAACAACACAAAGGATACTAGCAGCATTCTCTTCCTCCTTGAGCTGTTGTTGCAAAGGTTCCAGCGTGTCCTTGTATGGACATTTTAACGTCCAATGGTCACCTTTACAAATACGACATTGCACAATAGTTTTCTGGTTTTGAAGCTTTTTAAAAGGGTCATCGTCTTGTTGGTTCAAGTCCTAACAGGAAAATATATTCAATAAATAAATAAACTCCGAGGTATTAAGAGGAGAATCTTTTGTATGTTACGTAACACGCGTTCAAAACTAATGAATATACTTTTCCACTTGGTTAGGACTATATTCATTTTTTTAAATTTGTTATCCAGTTGTGAGGTGATAGCGAGTTGAATAAAGGAACAAAGTCACGAAAAAGACAAAAAAGAAACAAAAATATATTTTGCTGAAAGGGGTGAAGATTATTTTTTTACATTTTTTTAAATTTCAATTTTTTCCAAGGACTAAAAGTGCCATTTTTTGTGATGAAAAGTGCCCTTTTATGTGATGAAAAGTGTCCTTTTTGTACAAGCTAATGTCGCTGTAAATACTAAATTAACTTCAAAGGTGCCCTTTTTGTTTGGAAATTTCCAAGTTTTTTAAAAAAAAATTGGTCAAAAACGTGCAATTTCGGTATGGTATGACGGGAAAATTTCTTCTCTTAAGCCAAACATTTCCAGGAAAATTTTTTTAGGTGCTCTTTTCAATATCCCAAAGTGCCCCTGGAAATCGGTGCCCCCCCCCCAATCTGTTGATGCTTCCTACGCCCCTGATTTCAACCCCGACAAGATAACCTCCTAGGTAAATAGACAACTATTCTTTACCTCCTTGTTTGATGTAAGAACGAGAAAGACATCTTCAGCCACCATAGTTGTTGCAGGATTGGGACCTGGTTTATCAGTCTTTGAATCACCAAATTTTGCCCAGAGCTTGAAATAAAAAAAAAGTAAATGACATACACATACATAATTGCATTTGAGAATCACAATGTACTGTAGTTATAGAATAATCATATAAATTTCTCTAAGGGAAGAGTCAAATGTATGTTTCTACCAAAAACGTCTGGGAGGGAGGGCATTTGTAGGCATGACATCTTTCATCTCTTGAAATATACACAACACAGAATTTGAAGGTATGGGAAGGAGTTTTGCAGAAGACATTATATTGATGTTTTTGGCAGAAACATATATTTTACCCTAAATTAAAAGTATCCCATTTGATATCACACTTCACATCATGTGTGCTAAAACTTTACCTTTCTTTTAGCAATTGCTTTATGAACTTTGAGCGTTTCCAATTTGTATGTCCGAACAACCTGATTAGCACAAATTAAAATGGTTTAATCAATTTAACAAAAAAGAAAAAGTATTTGGAAACATGACTATTTTTACTAATAGTAATTTTAAATATTTACCTTGACCAACTTGTCATCATCATTCATCTTGTACTCTGTGATAGTTTTAATACCATTTTTTATGACTTCAGTTGGCTGGGGTAATACAGTGTGATCTGGTTCATCTAGACAAGCAAGAATTGGCTATGTAGAAGTATTTTTGGCTTGAATGTGGCCTCGCAAATTTCAGTTTATGATAAATTGACAATATGCAGCCATTTTCGCATCAAATTTTTCCAAGCCATGATGGGACATCATGGGAAAAGCATCATGTTGAATTATTTACTATAATGGATTTTAATTTTTTTCCTGCATATACATACCTTCTTGTTCAACCTGATCGGCCCAACTTGTGCCTGTATCTCTAGAATATATTTGTGAAACTCATTAATAATTCATGAAAAAAAAAACACAAAATCATTAGCTTGAAGGTGTTTGTATATCTGATACAAAATCATGCTGATTTACATAAACTTTAAGTTCAATTTTCTCACCAAATACCATTAATTCATTTTAAATTGTTGAAGAATACCAATGTTCTCATCAAGATGTTTCACAAGCCATTTACAACATTCACGTCTTTGTTATATCAGATATACAAACTCTTGCCTTCTGCTCAAATTTGTACATCCGCTACAACACAGCTGCTTGTGTTGTAAATAATAAATAAAGGAATGTCTAAGTAAGACTAGATGTATATGTAAGTAACAAAATCTAATCTTGAGATGGACCGCTCATCAAAACATATCATCTAGCTATCTGACAGATTATTCATCTTTGTGTAAGCACAAGACAAACCATTAAGACAAATCAGAACAAACTAGTGGTGCAAAAATCATTACAGGCAGGGTAGAAGTGGTGGATTCTTGGGACTCGCCTGATCAAGCAAGTTGTTTCGCTTGCATGTTATACAAAGTATATTAAGCAGAACATCAATATTTGAGTGAGGCCCTTCGTCATAGAAATTTTTGTGGGCAGACATCACTCCTGATCAAATGGCATATGTTGATGTCATAAAAGCAAATGACGTGTAACTAACCCCCCCCCCTCTCCCCTTACCTACAACAAACACCTGCGAGGTAGTCAACCCGTCATGTAACTGGGGGGGGACCTCAGTCTTTAGATTATCAAATAATTTGTCTCTACTCTTGATAGATGATCATTCCTTTTGCTGTGTTTATACACAGATAAATTATCACATGAATAATATTGTCTTTGCCCAGAATTGTCCAAATAAATCTAAACTAAAACTAAACTAAAGTCACACGTGTACAACAAAATAATGAAAAATATATACACTTTCTTTCAACAAAATTATTGACAAAATACACTTTACAAAATTCACTTACGGTGTTTCTGAAGTTAATTCTGGCATTATGTTTCACTTTACTACAACAAGGAACAAAAAAACAACGAAAATATGCGAAAATTCGCCAAAAATTGTAAAATACAATTTTTTTCTTCAACTTTTAGAGACTCGAGCCCAGGAGCCTCGCGGTCTTGCCATATTTTGCTAATCCAAATTACTGGCAATATTAATCCAAAGATTAGCACTAGCGTTAATCCAGGATTTTTAAGGCTTTAATCAATGTTACTAGGGCTTAGGTTTACTCTAAAGTTTCTTTAAATTAAATATATGTACATTAGTGCAAAATACTGCAGTATTTTTAATAATATTTAACATATTTTTAATAATCTTTCTTGTTATTTTAACCATAGATATAGGAGATTTTAACCTTGGATTAAATCTAATCACATTTTTAATCCATTTTCCGGGGGGTGATTCAGGCACTGATTACCATTTTCAAATCAATCATGGCGGACCAAATAGAGGTATTTTGTGCATTTGTTATTGATTTTCTCGTTGTAAAGAATGAATTTATGTACTGATTTGACTCATGTGAATTGTTTACGGTAGGAACTAGACATTGAAAGGGAAATAAAGAAATCACACAAAACTAAAAAGAAAAGTAAGCGCTAAATTAGTCCCTAAGGAGTTGTGGACCAGGACGCGCACGTGGCTAAAAAACACCTATCGGTACCTTTTAGGAACGCTATTTTCAGAGGAATTATTGCAACAGAGAGATGTTGTTTCGCACATCTTCTGAAAGTTGTATGTTCCCTGTGGGATAGGTGCTTTTTTCGCACAGCTACGGCAATTAGCTATTTAGCCTATTTGGTATAGTGTAAAAGCAGCCCAAGACTGGTTTTCATTGTTAGACAACAGTCGCCAATTTCTGATCTACAATTGTCGGCAAGCATATTGCAGGCTTCATAGTTCATTAGTGATCTTCGTCATTTTCATGATTCCATGAGAATATCAAGCGTGTAGAGCAGCTAGGACTGAGGTAAAAGGTCCATGACTGTTGTTGACAACTTGCAAACAGTGTTTTTATTTGTGTTATTATTGTAGAGTGTCGGCGACTACCGCCAACTGTCGCAACAAGATAATTTTTTTTATTTGACACAACTTGTGACAGTCGCAGACAAATTATGATAGGCAGTTTTCATTTATCCTAAGCCACCTGCGATTTTCACAGATGGTCAGAGAATCGACATCGGGAAATGTTGCCTTTAACGTCGTGGATATACCATTGTGGTACAGCTATTAATCCAACAGAACACAGTATTAGGCATGCATACTGCACGCAATATTCATGTTCTGGCCACCTGTTTGCAGAATGCAGACCTAGGAAAAACTCTTACACATACGCTTAAAATTCTACCCTCGGATTTGATCCAGGCCATAACACGCACACAGCAAGTGCCTTACCCACTCGACTACCGAGAAATTGCTCGACATCAACTGAAATTTATTTGGTATCTTTCGATCAGTATGTTTAAATGTGTCGACTACTACTGTATGTACATGACCAAAACACATGATCTCCCCCAAATTTTGTTTCAGAGCTTAAAAGAAAGTCCTCTACTCCACAAAATGAAGAGAAAGGAAGTGAGAAGAGTAAAAAGGAGAAGCTCTCATCAGGGAAAGGTTCTTGTTGATAACAATGTATAAGCAAGGCGTAATACAAGCTAACTCAAACTCCCCACTAGCTTGAACTAACTCCAATTTCCCCTGGATTTGACAAAAAAATTTTACAGTAATTTATTCCAGTTAACTCAAATTTGCTGAACTCGAACTCTTCATTAACTCAGACAATTTCCTTTTCCCTTGGTCGAACTTACCTGGTTAACTCAAACTGTATTTTTGAGACGTGGGTCGGCAAACCTCAAAATGTCAGAACATAGCACACTGACAAGTCGGATAACTATCTGTGCACGTACCTTGTTAGTCCCTACTTTGTTATTTACTCTGTTTAACCCATTAAGCTGCAGCGCTTCCCCATTGACAAGTAAAATCGTCTGGCGTAAGACAAGTAAAAAAATAAGTAGGGCGCATTGTAGGTCAATGAGTTAACTAGAGACATTGTCAGATTTTTTGGTTAACCCATTAAGCTGCAGAGCTTCCCCATTGACAAGTAAAATCATCTGGCATTAGACAAGTAAAAAATAAGTAGGGCGCATTGCAGCTCAATGGGTTAATGTCAGTCATTTAACTTTGCATCAGGACAATGTTGGGAATCGAGGAGTTAACAAGTTGTGTTATTTTCTATTTGAAAGGGCGTGATTATACAGTCAGCATTGCTCTCCCTGGCTCAATTCTTAGCAATGCTCAGTCGTTAGAATTAAGAACATATTTGGCTGGACAGGTAATCATGATTCTTTCTGGCTAACCAGCCACCACTTGGCTCATATGAACAGCCCTAATTTTTATTGTATTAATGTTGTTAGATAGCTCGTGCCTTGGTGGTTTTCAACATTGATGAAGTGATTGTGTTCAGTGAGTCATGTCAAAGTACAGCGAGCGTTGATGCCACATTCCGTGGAGCAGGGAGGAAATCTGATCCCAACATACTGCTAGGAAGGATTTTACAATATCTGGAGTGTCCTCAGTATCTGAGAAAGTCATTCTTCCCCAGACATCCTGATTTACAATATGCAGGTATTCAGTTCTTGAGAACTGGAGCATAATTCAGAAATGGCCTATTGCATAATGTTGCACAATGCTCTTTTATCACAGGTCTACTCAATCCACTGGACTGTCCTCACCATATGCGAGCAACAGACAGACTGCCATTCAGAGAGGGAGTGGTTGTAAACAGACCAGTTAAGGATGGTCATGGCTCCTTAGTTAATGTTGGACTACAGAAAGAAGTGTCCATTGATAAACGATTGAAACCTGGCACAAGAGTCACTGTGAAATTGACCTATAAAGATAAACATGGTATGCATTTGTACAGTACAAGAATGACAGTAGACAAGTAGCAAGCAAGAGTTTGCTGGTGACACAATGATGAGAGCTACATACCAAAACCTGGTATGCTTGTAAGCATACTCATATATATACCAAAACCTGGAATGCTCATGAGCATTATAAAATACAAAAGAACAGTAACTCCGAATAACATTTTGTTTTGATTTATTGAATCTACGTTTTGACTAGATTGTAGTCATCTTCAGGATTAGTGTAAGATTACAAATACAGCTATATATAAAGAGAAGAAAGGCGGAGCTTAATGTCAGTGAAATATGATCAATTCTTTAGATGCTTTAGCGCCATGGTTTAGTTCCGGGTTTCGCCTCCGTATAGCAGGAGACTCTTTATGCAATAACAGAGACCAGTGATCAGACTTGTCAATTATTTTACAGTTGTTGAAAATTAATTGAGTAATATTAGTGTTTATAGGGCTAGATGCGTCATGAGCATGTTCATATACATGGCAAAATCTCTGTTATGCTCATGAACATAGCCTGAATTTCAGACGGTCATTCAATATCATTTCTGAGCATGCTCATACTAGTTGACTGAGTGGAGCACATAGCGAGAACTGTCATCATCTCTCGTGAAAATTTGAAAAGTTGATGACAGTTTTCTCAACTCCCCTGCCCCTCTCAAATGAGAACAAGAGTTGCACGAGAGTTGACTGGATATTACCGTACGCGCAATGAGGACTCTAGTTCATATATTAATATTATCACAATGGGATACGGGGCTAAATCTAAGTTTTACATTTTCTCTGTAGATACCGAGGTAGACAAGGCATGTGTAGTGCCACCCAGTCAACCGCGTACAGAAGAAGGTCTATACTGGGGTTACACAGTTAGACTTGCTCATACATTCAGTGCCGTCTTCACTCAGTCTCCGCATAAACATGGATATGACGTCACTATCGGTACATCGGAAAGAGGAACGTCCGTCGATGACATTGCGTTACCGAAATTTAGGTAGTGGTCGAAATTACGTCATTATAATATCCTTATAATAATATAGCTGCCGACATTTGCATTTCTAATAGCGCAATGTGGATACGATCAAATGCGCTCTGCATCAAGCATTACGCTTACCTAGTTACATACTTACCCTAAGCTATTTCATCTCTACAACAATTGTGATATTACTTTCTTAACTGTGTTTATCCATGGATAATAAAATAAATGGATTGGAAACTTCTGACGTCATTGACTGCATCCTTGTTGAAAAACGTGACGTCACGCGTATTGCGAATGTTACCAAAGTTCTCGGCATTTTTGTTGTTTTGCTATATTTTCCACTTTAAAGGGGTGATCTTGAAGCGTAAACTGGTCTAATTGTTTTAAAAACATGCCTAAGCCACGACAAAGTATTCAAGGTAAATGTTTTTCGTCTTTGTTTTGTATTTTTTTACATTTGTAGCTACGAAATTGGCGTCACAAATTTTTGCGAAATTTGCGATGTATTTTTCACTGTTTAGTGCTTGAAATATTTGGTAAAATTGACTGGGAATACTTAGAGTTTTCATCGTAGAATGGCGTGGTTACATTTATTTGCTCTTTGACTAAAATGTTTAGCTGTATTATTGCTAAACATGCCGTTTTTGAGAATTTGGTTTTCAACTAGGTTGAGGCACCCAGCCACGCCATCAATCCCAGTAAAAACATTAGGTCACGTCAGCTAGTTTCCTATCCATTTATTTTATTATCCATGGTTTATCCTAACCCACCCTGTCAACTTTCCCTGTGGGAGGAACCGGAGCACCCGGAGAAAACCCAAAACTTTCGACAGAGCGTTGACAGACTCTTTTCACATGAATATATATACTAAAACTGTCTGTACCAGTGTAGGTAGTACCAATGTGAAAATGCTGTGCTGAGTGGTTATATTACTACCTTAAAAAACAAGCAGAAACTCGACGTTTCGAGCGAAGGCCCTTCGTCAAGAGTTAGGGAACTGTTGACGAAGGGCCTTCGCTCGAAACGTCGAGTTTCTTTTCACATGAGTCCGTAGCGAGAATCGAACCCACGATCTCAGAGGTGAAAGGCCCAAAGCCATGAACCAGTGTGGATTATTTAACAAATATAAAACATTTTCCGTGTTGATATACAGTTATATCAACACGAGTGGAAATTGGGAAAACGAGAAATTGTGTGGAAACACGACGCCCGAAGGGCGGAGTATTTTCACCGAATTTCGAGTTTTCCCAACTTCCACGAGTGTTGATATAACTATATATCAATACGGAAAAAATGTTTTATATTTGTTTTATAATATAGCAATGTCAAAAACCCGAAGAATAAGAAAAATTTCCGTGTTATTTAACAAGCGGCGGAAAATTTCCCGTGTTGACATGGAGTTATATCAACACGGCTCTTAGCCAATCAGCGTTCAGAATTTACAAATGCTATATTATAAAACAATTTCGCTCACAGCGAAGCCAAGAAAATGTTTTGTGTTCTTTTTATCGTATCCTTTTAGAACAGTACTTAATTTACTAATGAAAACTGTATTTTTGTGCGTTTTTATGTGTGTGGCCGATTGCCGAACGTTTTAATTCACACTGCAATGAACTTTTTATTAACTATATTTGCAGGCATTTGTTGATAGTATTTGGTGGATTACAAGGTCTTGAAGCAAGCTTGGAATCAGACGAATCTTTAAACGAAATGGACCCAAGCTCATTATTTCATAATTACATAAACACATGTCCTGATCAGGGCAGTAGGACTATAAGAACTGAAGAGGCGTTGTTAATTACAATGGCCGCTCTAAGACCTCATATTAAACTAGCCAATCAAGAAAGCTAACAGATTCGATTTGACCAATCGGATGTTAAATTCATGGAACCTAACAAATTTTGGTAGAATTGGAGAAACATCTGATGTACTGTGCAATTGACTTTTTCATCAATAGTGACGCCATCTTGAATTGCAATGCATTGTGGTCAAACCAGGATAAAAAGCCAAACCTCGCATTCGCTTTGATAAAGTTACAAATCTGAAAATTTGTCTGCCATTTGTAAAAGTGATAACGTTCATTTTGGTCTAAGACTAAGTATTTGATTCATAGAGTTTTAAAAGCGTTCAGTACCGTCAATGGATCACAATGCATTTGATCAGAATTTGAGAGACCTGTGTGTTGTGTGACTTTATATATATTGTATATCTAGAAGCGCTATATTTGGTCCATATATTTTTATAAATTTCCCAAATTATCTTGATTATGCATAATGATTAATACTGCATAACGATTTTGTTTGAAATGAAGTGCAACATCTTCTATACCAAGAACGATAAGGAAAATCTGTAAAAAGGTTTTGGAATATATTGAATCTCTCTTCCAAATGAGAGAAACGTAATCCCTATATTATTATGTTATTGCGTCCAGCGATGGTGGAACCCAGCCACCAAATTCTCTTTCAAGTGCTTCAGCAACAGCAAGAGTTAAGTGATCGTTATTCCTTGCCGCTACAACCTGAATTCCCAATGGCAGACCATTCGAGTCAAGGCCTAAGGGGACTTGTGTCACGGGTAAATGAAGGGCATTGAAGATACCTGTATATATAAAATTATTCGGCTTGAATATAGGCACGTTATGACGCAACGCCGTAGACGGGTGCGATGGAAATAGTAAAACCCCATCTTCGCCAAGGATTTCCTCAATTTCCACTCGTAAATTTTCGCCATTCCTTAGTGAATTTTGCTCCAAGCTTTTGGGTAGAACGTTTTTAAGCGATTCGAAAGCTGCAAGGCGAATAGCTGGAAAGGTGTAGTCCGATTGCCCCACGCACCATTTCAAAACTTCCCAACACGACAATAGCCCCGTTGCCCTGTTTGAAACACCAAAAAGCATTTCCCCAAAACTAGGCCCACCCATCACAGACATTTTCGTGAGCCAGATGAAAATTGCATGTTTTATAAGTGGAAGTTCAAGCTTTGTAACTGATGCTCCAATTTTTTTTCCAAAAAACTGACAAACTTTTTCCTGGGCTTTGAGTAATTCTGGAGAAACTTTGGAGGCCAATAAACCACAGTTATCGATACTGTAAAACTTTAGTTTGTCGATGTCGACATTGCTTTCTAGACGTTTTTTGAAGTCGGCGTCGGAAGACATAACCTATGAAATGAAAATGTTCATTACTGCATTTGGCACGCTATAATGGACAACTTGTATGTTAGACTAAATTTTAATCTAAGTAAACAGAAGGGAATCAAACACCACAGCTAAAGAGAACATAATGAAATTAGTAAAATTGCAAAATGTGGTTACGAAATGTTGTAAAGCTTGGAAAATATAGTCTTGCGAAGTTTGCAAATTTTGTATATGTTTGTATTACGTGCGGAAATTGTTACCATTTTCGGCTCAAAAATTAGGCACACAAGATATACACACTTCGCAAGGCTATATTTTACAACATTTCGTAACCAAATTTTGCAATTTTATTAATTTTAATAAGTTCTTTAAGGGAATTTACTTTTTTGCCTAGATAAAAAATTAGTCAACACGCAAGTTGTCTATTTTAATAGCTATTGTACATCGGTACATTTATTTCCCAAACAGGTTTGACATGTTTTTAGAAACAGTCAATCACGTGGGGAAGTTCAGATTTAATTGATTTGTGAGCTCACGAGAAAACACTCGGAATACTTTAGTTAAATATCATGGTTAAATGCTGTACCTTAACAACCAAATTTACTATACTGTGCTACAGCAACTGTCAAGTCGCGCATACGTGATAAAAAGCCAACACAAACTTTATAAACAAAAGATAATATAAAACGTAACTGAACGGCAAACATGCAGATTCGCCCATCTCAAATAATGGTAATGTTTGGATAGCAGCGTTGCAGAGGAGAGTGGGCAGTAAGGCTCCCTCATGCACCACCCCATGGAAAACCTGCACCCTTCCATGCAGATGAGGCTAGATCCGCCCCTGTTCTTTTGCCTTGCCGTTCTTTCGCCTCAATTGGCATTGATTGCTCCCTAACACTGTTTCGTTACTTTACTCTAACAACAGACGATTTTACTCGTCGCGGAAAGAGTGCTGGCATCCAATGGGTTAAACCTAACAAATCATATTGTACTGGATTAATAGGGTATACCTTTAACATGAGTGTTAGATCCACAGCATATCTACATATTGGTCCAGTGGACAACATCAGTTCAGCAGCCTCTGTACAATTTACAGGAAACTGTCCTAAATTTGATACCATCCTAGGACTAGGTTTGTGTCCAAACACTCCATTGAAGAATGCGGGCATTCTTATACTTCCTCCTATATCTGAGGCAAAAAATAGATGGATTATATTTTGTGGATTTGATTTGGGGGCCTATTATTTATTAACTGATTCGAAAACTAGCCACAATTTTGCACTTGTGCAAGTGTGGTCAAACTTCGTAATTTTGTGCTGCTCTTTCCAATGGTTAATTGAGTTCATTTCCTCATACCTTACTTGTATTAAAATTCGCGCAGTACTAGAACTCGCGCAGCGCTGGGTGCGCGAATTTTAGTCTTGCGCGAAATATAATCCGCGCGAAAAGCTTTGTGGTGTAATATGAGACACCGGAGACACTTATTGTTAGTAATACAAATCAGTTGAGTTATTAACGGATTTGCATTACTATTTACATTGTGTTATTGTATTAGGCAAATGAGAACCATAAAATAAATTTTTCAGTTCTTGTTGGTATTTTGAACTCACGCTTTATTAATTGTTATCATGAATTTTGCAAATATTACATAATTTTGAAGCCATTTTTTGAGGTCACCTAATCGCTTTTTGATTATTTAAAGTTTTAACAAATATTGAAGTATTTGTTGATAAAAAATACTCATTATAAATGCGTTAATTGTTGATAATTCTACTAAACAAACCAAAAAGAACGAACACGGAAAATTACTTGCGCGAATTTAAAGCTGCGCGAATAAGTCTCAACAAGGTGCGCGAAATTAAATCGCACGAAAATGAGTACGAAAATGTGTACGACGTGAATTTTAATACAAGTAAGTAGTGCTGTGCAAACTCCGGTTTTTCAGCTCCGGTTCCAGCCGAATTATAGCTCTGAGCTCCGGCTCCGGCCACATCATAAAATATTAAATATATATTTTAATATTTTACGATCAGAGAACATTTATTAATATTATTATGAATAACCCTTTTCGTGCTTCCTAATTATCAGATAACATAACTCAGGAAACAAAACAGTGAAAACACTTAACCACACAGAAAATATCTATATGGAAACCAGCCTCAAAAATTTTCTGACAGTGTTGCAATTTTTATATAGCATGATGCTAACACTCTCAGACTCCACAGCGCAATTGTTCGCATGCAAACAAAGTACTCTGTCATTTTCAAAAGGTTGATATTTATTTGTTTCGTACTTTTTCGTTATCTACAAGGCATGAATACACAGACTATGTAGCGCTAAGTCAGATGGCTTCATGAAAGCATGACGTTTGTAAGTTGCGATCGTATTACAGCTTTTCGACGCTGTTCATGTGGGCTGTGGCAGTTTGCGTCTATGATGAATTCATTAACAGCAATTGGCAGTTTGCAGTAACTAATAATCGTTTGACATTTGTCGCATTTCTTATTATTTTCTTGTCATTTTGCCGGAGCTGAGAAAACGTAACTCCGTCTCCGGCATACAAAATTCTGCTCCGGCGTCGGAAAAACCGCCGGAGCTCCGGCGGTTCCGGCAGCTCCGGCGCACAGCACTAAAACAAGTAAGGTATATAAATTAAAATGGTTATTTTCCAGGTAGTTTTCAAACTGCTGAGCACTGACAAATTTAGACGAAGCAAACACTCTGATCAGTCTGATGGCAACGCCTTTACACATTTGACAACATACATCACGTGACGACAAACTATTTTCTTTTACAAAATCTATTTGTTGATAGGCCCTAATTCTAGGCATTTAAATTTATGATTTTGATGGTCAGAAACCCCAGCTTCCTGTAGACACTAGCAGCTAGAGGTGTGCAAATCCGATCCGATTCGTTCGGATTTCGGAACCAAAATATTCATTTCGGATCGGATTGATAAAGTTGTTTCATAGTCGGATCGGACTTCGATATCCGAAATAAAATGAATTAATTATCCACGCATTATCGCAAGAATTAATTATCCATGCATTTATCAAAGCATTATCGCAGTTGTCGCTGCATTATTCGTTTGATATTTCAATTGGACGTCACTTGTCAGCTTCTTGACATGTATTTCTTGCTTTTATATTTATTTGGTTAAATATGTCAACTTGAATCAGTTGAATGAGAAATTTATTTTATCAAAGAATTTATTTTATCGGATTGGAATTCTTTATCAAAATTCGGATCGGATTTGGATTAGACAATTTCAGATCGGATCAGATTTTAAACATTAGCCAATAGACCTTTCCCCTTTTAAGTGAAATTTTGATCTAGACAAGTCTGGACAAAAATTTCATCACAGCTTGAAAGAGCATCACAAAATTAGTAATATTCCGAAGTTTCGTTGCAAAATGTTGTAAAATGCGGATAATATGGCCTTGCGAAGTTTGCCGTTTTTCAGTCATTTTGCATTACAAACGGGAAATTGATAATCAGATGATCAAACTGATTATCAATTTCCCATTTGTAATACAAAATGACTGAAAAACGGCAAACTTCGCAAGGCTATGTTATCCGCATTTTACAACATTTCGCAACGAAACTTCGGAATATTACTAATTTTGTGATGCTCTTTCAAGCTGTGATGAAATTTTTGTCCAGGCTAGTCTAGATCAAAGTTTCACTTAAAAGGGGAAAGGTCTATTGTCGGATTATAAACATCCAATCCGATCCGATGCACACCTCTACTAGCAGCATCATTTTGGAGATACAACAACATGAAAAATACAAACAGAACCGACAAAGGGCCTTGAAGCATTGAAGCTCTGTTTGTACTGTTCAAGTAGCTGTATCTCCTATATACTGCTGGTGTTTGTAATCATTGCTACCAACACTGGCGCCAATTTTATAAGAATAGCGCACTGTGCACATTACTGCTTACCAGAGCCAATCCCAATCACTGAACCAGCTGCGGCAATTATCGCAGCCTCCCCTCCAGAGCTTCCACCCACAATATGCTCGGTATTATACGGATTCAGCGATCTGCCGTACACACAATTAGTTGACTCCCACCACATGCATAACTCGCTAACGTTTGTCGCTGCAAGCAGGATCGCGCCTGCATCCAAAATCTTTTGTACAACTACAGCATTTTTGCTTGCAATAGTATTTCTTCTACGGACCAGGCCACCAGTTTGGGCAAACCCTTTAAAACCAAACGCCTCTTTACATGTAAACGGCGCTCCATATAAAACCTTAATAACAATTAAATAATCATCCACATGACTTGAATGTTAGGCTATGTTTACATCGAATCGGATAGCTTTCTATATAAACACCTATCCGTACCTTTTAGGAACACTATTTTCAGAGGAATTATTGCAATGGAGATATGCTGTTTCACTCCACAAGATCCAGGGTCTGAAATTTATATTTTTTCTCAGTACTCAACTGGGATACCAGGATTCAAAGTCTAGTACACCCCCCCCCCCAAAAAAAAAATACAGTATCTCATTTCTGGCCAAGGGGCGTCTTCCCCAATAATTTTGAAAGACTATAAAAACCTGGTACATATGTATTGTAGTTAAATATACATGTACAACAATAACGAACAACAAAATCCAATATTTTATCAAAGTGTTATGTAATCAATATAAGTGTGACGAATGCTCGACACAATTAAGAAAGAATTAAATTTATAGTAAAAATACCTTCGCATTGAAGACAGCTTTTCTTTCACTTTCAGATAAATTTTCAAGCCGCTTGTCAACTTCACGAGCCTCGTCCAAAGCGGCTTCAAATCTTTGTTGTACAACAACATTTATAAAGCCATTCACTGCTTTAATTCGGGCAATGTAAGTCTGTACTATTTGCTCACTCCTCAATTCGCCATTTTGCAGTTTTTCGACAAGTATCGACGCTGAAAGTGTTAAAATAGGCTTGTCTTTGTTTAGTATAGTTGAAACCTTTAGCCCAGGTTTAGTTAAAACGTTGTAGATGTATCTTAATGCAAAAATTAGCACTAAAAATAAAACAAGTATAAAAGTGAAATGGACCGCCATGTTTGATATGGAAATCTCAAAACTTCACCCCCTAACAACCCCGTATTCTGTGGTAACAGTGTGTTGTACAACATATTTATAACGGAGCATAACACAATGTAATGTGTAACAATAGGTCCATTTATACGAGCGAAAATAAGTCGCGGCCTAAATAAGCCGCGGCTTATTGGAAATTGACTGTTTATACGAGTTGTTCGCGACCCGCGGCTTATTTAGGCCGCGGCTTATTTTTGCTTGTATATTAAAATGGCCCTAATATGGACACCTTGTAACACTGTGTAACATTATGAAAAAATTGTTACCCATGTTATTAGTACAGCACTATGCAACTCTACTCTTATAAACAGTGTGCAACACTATGTACAATGCTTGTGTGGTGTTACTCTGAGTGTATATCCACACCGGACAGGATTGAAAAATATGCCTGGCCACGGTGTGTGGGCTAGTATTCCAAAGGTCGTAGGTTCGATTCCCACCGTGGCCAGGCATATTTTTCAAGCCTGCCCGGTGTGAATATACACTCAGAGTAACATCACACAAGCATCTTATTCACCTGAGTACATTACACCAACACAGCAAATACTATGTACAATGTATAAACATTATGTTTGTTCGCGCGAAGCGAAAAACAAATCTTGGCAATGTGATTGGTCAGCGAAAAAATTCGCCGCGAATAAGTTGGATCAGTCCCTATTTTTTTACTGTTTGCGCGAAAAAAATCGCCTAGTGTAAAATGGGCCTAACACTATGTATTAAATTTATTGCCAGGTCTATGTTCATCTAAACATGCAGTCGATACTGATAGTGTTACAAATAACACGTCATGCAGAGTCTGCATGGCGTGTTATTAATTGTGATTGCAGAGCAACTCTAAAGGCTAGTTTCCACTCAGAAAAATTATCCGTGGATTGAACGGACAAGAGCGTTTTTCTTTGTCTTGTGAGCTCTGGGTTGGAACTAACTGTGACTCTAAAGGCTAATTTCCACTCAGGAAATAATGCAGTGGCGTAACGTTATATCAGGGGGCCCCCGGTTCAAAATTTTCGAAGGCCCCCCTAGTAGAAGTGCCAAAGGAACAAGTCGAGCGCCGTATATGCACGAGTTTTCTAGGGGGTCCAGGGCATGGTCATCCAGAAAATTTTTGAATCTAGACTCTCTGAAATGCCATTTCCTGGACTTTGGGAAGAGATTTTACAGAATTCTGATGGTCATAAAACGACATTGTAACATATCAGAGGCCCTGGCCAATGTTTTTGCCCTATCGACTAAGCCTGGGGGCCCCCATTTGGGTTGGGGGCCCCCGGGTTCACCCGGTCTGAGCCCATAGTAGTTACGCCACTGAAATAATGACTCTAAAGGCTAATGACTAAAGACTAATGACTCTAAAGACTAATGACTCTAAAGGCTAATCCCAGAGCTCACAAGACAAAGAAAAATTGACTTGTCCGTTCCAATCCACGGATAATTTTCCTGAGTGGAAATTAGCCTTCATAATGATCACAGTAGGAATTTTGCACAGGTAAATTCTAAGCTTTGAATGATTTGTCAGAAATTTTTGAGGGAAATAACTCATTGTTTAATAACACTCACTCAGTTGGGAAACTGATGTTTTAATGAAACGTCAATCGTCCCGCTCGGTTGATGATAATTATGGCGTCAAAATTGAAATATCTTTGTAAAGCGCACGATTTTCTGCTCTTGGGAATTTAAAGCATGCAGCTTCCTAAACGGTTTCTTTATGCATACAATTTACTTATGTCAAGCTTTGATGCACGTGTGGGTTCAGCGGAGTGCTGAGGCATTCAAATTCTAACAATACGTTATTTCAATAGTTTTCTTTTTTGGGGGGACACCCTCAGGGTGTCCCAAAAAACCCGAAAACTATTGAAATCACGTATTGTTAAAATTGAATGCCCTACCAAAAAGCTGAACGTAATGATGCGTAAAGGTGCACTATTAAAATTTAGTTATTAAGAACATCTCCTTGTAAAGTGCGCGATTTTCTGCTCTTGGGAATTTAAAGCAGCTTCCTAAATAGTTCTTTATGCATAAAATTTACTTATGTCAATCGTTTATGCACTCGTGGGAACCAACAGAGTGCTAAGGCATTCAAATTCTAACAATTAAATTATTATTGGTGATTTCAATAGTTTTCGGGGTTTTTTGGGACACCTTGTAGATTGTAACTGAATATTCTGCGCTCTTTCTGTTTCGCCTTGCACAATGTTCGTGACCTACATGTTATAATATACTCAATTTATTCATAATCTATTAAAAATCTAGTAAAAATCGGATCTAGTGTACAATGTATAGAAATATTTGGCTGCAAACTGTCAGACTTCATCAGCTACCAAAATATTCCACCCATATACTATAAATAAAATTTTCACTGTTTTTTGTATTTTACCTGACGTTTATTAATTTTCAAAATTATGTCAAATCTCTGCCCAAAACGCATGAAATGGCATTTCAGAGACTCTAGATTTAAAATTTCCCGGGGGAAGATGCGCCTGGACACCCTACGAGGTCTTGCGCCTTCGGCACTCGAGTGCCCTTTTCAAGATTTAAATAAATTTGCTCCCGCCGCTTTTCAGTCCTTCCCGCCCCTGTCCTTCCAGTCCAGTCCCGCCCCAGTCTCAGTCCTTTCAGTCCAGTCCAGTCCCGCCCCTGAAGGGATATGTATTCATGTTGATATTTATAATTCAACATGTTTGCATCATTGAAGTGAATTTCGACATTGATATGTGTGGATATACACTCAGAGTAACATCACAAGCATCGTATTCACCTGAGTACATTACACCAACACAGAAAAAATCATGCTAGTTATAGTTAAATTTCCAGTGAATCTTATCCATGTAGTCTTCATAGGCGGTATTCCGTATAGGGGTCGGGTTCTATAGAGTTGGTTTTGGTGGATAATCCAAGACCAAGTAATATCATAGCTATCTCGAAATCCTTTGTTTCGGGACGATTAATGACTAATTTACCTCATTACTAACTATGAGGACGATTAGAAACTAATCATCCCACGGGACGATTAGTTACTGATCGATCGTCGCTCATCTTTATGCATATAACCTCTTATATTGATGTTCAATTAAATATTTAACAGACATGAAAAATCAACCGTAACCTCATTAACGAACATCCCAATAGTCATTAGCATCAAAAAGCAAACGCGCCTTTTATTTCAACTTATTAATTCAATCCAATGAAACCGTTTTATTGTCTCGGTAGCTGTGATGTTACAAAGTGATAGCATGGCATTACGGTCGATTAGTGATGAAATGTCTCTCAAGCCTCGAGAAGTTTAATTAATAAAAGTGCGCGCCTCGCGGCGACTTTTACTAAACCTCTAGTCTCTCGGCTTTCGGGTACATTTAATCACTAACCGACCTGAATCCCATGCAATTACGTATAAATGTTTGGAAGCGAAGCACAATAAATAAATAAATAAATAAATAGGACACCAGTATATGGTTCTAATTACCTATATCTAAACTTGAGATACAAAGGAAGCATTACGATACCCTTATACGGTTAGCATTTCTATAGTGTAAATTTAAATGTGAGTCAGGCGTCTCGCCTGGGGGCGAGCATACATAACAATCATTCCTGCTTTCACATATTCTTAGCATACTGAGGTTGCAAAGCTGTACATTGAAACTGTGTCCAATCTACCGAAATGAGCTGCCACAAAGAACGGAACCGTAAGTATAAAGAAGAGTTTATGGTAATGAACATGTATGAGCAAGCATTGTTGTCTGGTGAAAGCTACTATATACATGCTAGTTATTGTTAAAATTTCAGTGAATCCATATTTAGTCTTCATAGTATCCTTCATAGTCTCCTTGTATTTTTCAAGTATAATCCGAAACGTACTTTCTTGATAAATGATCGGCTTTTTAAAAACTCATCTTCCAAGGAGTAGGAGTTGTCTCTATCTATGATAAAGACAACTCTTTTCTGCATGCATGATGAAATATATTGACGAAGAGACCATTTTCATTTCTTAGTTTGTTGCAATGGCCCAGGCTATGCTACGCCGTTAGACGCAATGCAGAAAGGCTCTCGGGAGAAGATTGTCTACGTGGCATGTATTTATAACAGTACTGGGATTAAAAAACCCGATTATCTTGCTACAGTTGACGTGGACCCGGAATCACCAGATTACGGCAAGGTAATAACTAAGGCAACGCACGATTTCTATCAGTGCACTAGCGGAGGTTAGCCGAGGTCGATTCAGTTTTCTTCCCTCCGAAATACACCCTTCCAGACAGTAATCAGCTTTGCCTATACAGGGTGTATAACAGGCCTCAGGGGTGTATAAAAAAAAGTAGCCAATTTTGAAATGGCTCTCAATTTCACACATCGGCTCATTTCATGAAATTTGTGACTCAAAATGCGTTGTAAACATTTAATGAAATTTTGCGCGTAAGCTATTCTTAATGCTGCCATGGAAAATTTATCTTCACGAAAAATGTTTGTATATTCTACATTATAAGTACATTATAAGTACCCAAACAAGCCATATTTATCAATTTGTGAAATTGAGAGCCGTTTCAAAATTTGCCTACTTTCTTTTTACACACTGCCCTGTGGAGCCGGAGCCGTAGGAGTCCCCTAATTCATACGTGACGGCAAGTCTGCATTCACAAGCCAAGAAGCCAAGAATATAAACCCTCTCAGCCATGGTTTAAATAAACACCTATATATATGGCTACAAAAACAGTTGCTATAGAATATTTTCACGGTAACACAATAAATTTTTATTGAATTTTAAACCATTTTATACTCTTTTTGTATATAGTGCCCATTATTACAACTAGAGCTTCGACTTTCGTGACTATATTGGGTTAAGAGCTCTTTGTATTCGGTCATATCTGGCGGCATATTTACAGAATTATTCAGTCAAATTAGATAATATAAAGGAAATTTATATAATTAGGCCCGATATCTCAATCCTAAAAACGTGACTAAGTACACCTCGCTCGGATTTAAATGATTATTTATAGCAGATATTGGCTTAATTTCGCCCATACACATAAATTGTATGTTGGACAAGATCGGTTCCGTGTCTTGCAAAATTACAAAGAATAGCAGATCTCGGCACTTCATAGAACATAACGTGCTATAATCATGGCTTGCTCGACACATTTGTATTCTGCGTTTGCAGATCATGAACTTATTTTGTTTACTTTAGTCGCTGGGACTATGGAAATATGCAACTTGAAAAAATCCGTATTGTACCACTATAAAAGAAGAGCGCGTTTGTTTTTCGAAAATATTGATTCTTGAAAAGTTTCCTGTTTGCGCTAATAGTTAAAATGAGTTTTGTTATTTCTAATTTGCAATGAAATTTAGATTGGGCTCAAATAATGGGCTGACACTGATCTGCGATTACAAAGACCTTTATGCGCCCGCTCTAACTCTAAGAAAAATATGCGCACTAGCTTCACAGAACATTTCCGGCCCTCATTAAAAACACAGCAGTGCTTTGATCAAGCAAAGATTTGCATGTAGAACTTAATTATAAGCCTGCATGGTTTCCATATGTTCCTATAACTCTATTTTTACGACCATGCATTGACAACCATACAAATAATGAATGTTTATGAGTCCAATGGTAAGAATATTTTCATGAGGTGAAAGATGGAATGTTCCATTCAACGAGGCGACAGCCGAGTTGAATGGAAGAAGTTCCATCTTTCACCGAATGCAAGAAGCTAAGGCAAGGCAAGAAGCCAAGAATATAAACCCTCTCATGGTTTAAATAAACACCTATGGCTACAAAAACAGTTGCTTATAGAATGTTTTCACTGTAACACAATAAATTTTTATTGAATTTTAAACCATTTTATATTCTTTTTTGTATATATAGTGCCCATTATTACAACTAGAGCTTCGTCTTTCGTGACTATCACAGTGTTGGGTTAAGAGCTCTTTGTATTGTCTATCTGGCGGCATATTTACAGAATTATTCAGTCAAATTAGATAATATAAAGGAAATTTATATAATTAGGCCCGATATCTCAATCCTAAAACCGTGACTAAGTACACCTCGCTAGATTTAAGTGATTATTTATAGCAGATATTGGCTTAATTTCGCCCATACACATAAATTGTATGTTTGGACAAGATCGGTTCCGTGTCTTTCAAAATTACAAAGAATAGCAGATCTCGGCACTTCATAGAACATAACGTGCTATAATCATGGCTTGCTCGACACATTTGTATTCTGCGTTTGAGATCATGAACTTATTTTGTTTACTTTAGTCGCTGGGACTATGGAAATATGCAATTTGAAAAAATCTGTATTGTATACCACTATAAAAGAAGAGCGCGTTTGTTTTTCGAAAATATTGATTCTTGAAAAGTTTCCTGTTTGCGCTAATAGTTAAAATGAGTTTTGTTATTTCTAATTTGCAATGAAATTTAGATTGGGCTCAAATAATGGACTGACACTGATCTGCGATTACAAAGTATTCGTTGCCCGCTCTGACTCTAAGAAAAATATGCGCACTTCACAGAACATTTCCCTCATTAAAAACACAGCAGTGCTTTGATCGTAAAATGACTGAAATACTACAGGTTCGCGTGCGTAACAGCTAGCAAACGTCGTATCCACTGAACAAGCAAAGATTAGCATGTATAGAACTTAATTAAGCCTGGTTTCCATATGTTCCTATAACGGTTGTAAAAATTGACTCACGATCTTTCTCATCAGCCGAAATACAACATTTTAGAACTGAAAATACGCGGAGTGATTATAACTATAGACTGAATACTTATGATTTATTTGTGGTTTACAGATCTTATAAACTACTATAAACTGGCCGTTTAGAAAGATAGTACAAATAATTAATGTTTATGAGTGCAATGGTAAGAATATTTTCATTCGGTGAAAGATAGAATGTTCCATTCAACGAGGCGACAGCCGAGTTGAATGGAACATTCCATCTTTCACCGAATGAAAATATTCTTACCATTGCACTCATAAACATTCATTATTTGTTTTATATAATACCAAAATAGACTAATAGATTCGTATGAGAATCATTTTGACGGATGCGATTTATCGAAAACACAAAGAGTGCAATGCATGGAATAAAACGTATAGTGCATGCAATTGCACTCGCAAAGAGTGCAATGGAACGTACTCCATTGCACTCTTGGGAAATGGAATTTTCTATTCAATATCACGTGACCATAAACAGCCAATTAAACGATCAGAATTCAATAAGGTATTATATAAAATACGCTGTTACAGTCTCATTGCCTCTGCTGCCTATTACGTAGATAAATACGAGATTGTTACAGTGCAATAATAGTGCTATATGAAGCCTGGTTTTTAGGGGTTGCCTTCTATACCTTCGATTACGTAATTTTGAGCATAGACAGATTTACATAATTTGTCGATTTGTGGTTGAAGAAAAACCGAAGGGCAAACCTGTAGTCGCCTGGGCACAGGTGCCCCAGCAACAAATTAATCTTCTCGATTATTCCCCAGGTAATCCACCGTCTTAAAGCTCTCCATTTGGCCGATGAGCTACATCATAGTGGCTGGAATGCCTGCAGTAGGTCAGTCATTTTTTACCTCGCTATAGTTATCGCCGAATTTTACCAAACGTGAAACCTGTACCAAAGATTTGAACGTGACGTTCGCTTTTGTGTATAGTTGCCATGGTGATTCAAGCAGAGCACGTGACTCTCTGGTGATGCCCTCACTGTTATCCAGTCGTATTTATATTTTTGACATTGCCACAGATCCCAAGGCGCCCAGGATTCGCAAGGTGAGATTAACTACGGGCTTTGTTGGCGCCGAGTCATCAACGCTCTGCCGATTATAAGCATGCTCATGAGCATATTACCACAGAGAAGAGATATACAGAGAGGAAAACACGCGGCAAATTATGTCACGCCGATATATTCAGTCTATTAACTATAGAAAATTATATTAATTCATTATTTTATTAAATTTTGATAATGCAGAGGAATAAAACTATACATATTATAGAAGTATTTATGTGTTTTTTTTTATGCAAGAGTTATATTTTGAGGCATTTATATCATTCGCTGCTTTGTTTTTATAGATGAGCATCTGAAATTCCCAGCCAGTGATTTTCACGATTTTAATAAGGAGTAGATAGGGAAAAAACAAACTTTTGCAAAATAGGTAGGTAGGTAGGTAGGTAAAACTTTATTTTACTACGCTAACCCCTACAGCAGAAGCTGATTTCCAAGGGGGGCGTAGCATTAAATTCAAATTTACATTAAAAATTTAGAAAAATTAAACATACAAATACAGTTACTTACATGCAGTTATTACAATTACATACATAATTAAATAGATAATAGTACATACAGTACATACATACATACATAATAGTAAATATTAATAGATTAAATAGTCAAGGTAAATATGGGTTTGAAAACTCTAATTAGTAGCCAGGTGTCATACGTTTTTATTGAATATAGCTAGTGATTCTTTTCCTCTTAATTCATTTGGGAGACTATTCCACAGTTTAGCCACTCTATAATAGCTAAGACTTTTTTAAAGATATTCAGTCTTAGGCTTGGGCAAATGAAGTTAACACTTTTAATAAATGGAAATCAATAAAAGTGATCGCTTACCGTTATTCTACAATAATTTATTGAACAAAATTTCCATGGGTATCTCATTTTTTAAAAAAAAGCGATTTTCACCTTTCGAACGGCGTTTTCCCTATCTTTTGCTATGAAATTTCAGCGACGGCACTGGCTGGAAGATTTTGCGTGGCGCGTGGAACGTGTGACACAAAAATTCAGGTTATCGAGTGTCAGTTTCCTCTCTGTACATCTCTCCTCTGTGATATTACAGGAGTTTGGTAAATATACGGGCGTGCTCTTCAGTCTTGAGCATACAAAAACCGGTATACTCATGAACACGCTCACATATACACGAAAATCATACAGTATGCTCATAAGTATGCTCATCAGGGGCGTAGGAAGCACCTGGAGTTTGGGGGGGCACCGGCTTGTAGGGGCACATTACTATCGGAAAGGGCACCTAAAAAATTTTGGGGGGGGGGGGAGAAATTTCTCCTGAGGAAAATTTTCCGTCGTATCATACCGAAATTTATGTTTGTTACCTAATTTTAAAAAAAAAATTGTAAATTTCCACACAAAAACGGCACCTATTGTTTTAATTTAGTATTTACAGCGACATTAGCTTCTACAAAAGGGGCACTTTTCCTCACAAAAAGGGGCACTTTTCAACACAAAAAGGGCACTTTTTATCACAAAAAAGGGCACTTTTAGTCCTTTAAAAAAATTTGGGGGGGGGCACGTGCCCCCCGTGCCGCCCCCCCCCCCGCTTCCTACGCCCCTGATGCTCATGAGCATATTACAGAATTTTGGTACATATATAGGCGTGTTCATGAGCATACCAAAATCAGGCGGCCGTGTTGGTTTAATTACCAAGTCGTGATAATAAATACACAATGGTTAATTAAATGAAAACATAGCCATTGGTTGCTCCACGGAAAATACAATACACACGTACGTGATGATGAACCAACCATTTCGCGCATAAACCAAGACAAAAACATAGATAATGAGGTCTATTCATGTCTGCATCGAGTTTTCTGACCTTCTTATTCTATTGACTATAGGCTGGGTTAGTATAAACACAGTTAAGAAAAGTAAAGTAATATCACAATAGACCAATCCCCAATTAACCAAAATTTTGATCTCAACAAGTCTAGACAAAATTCTATCACAGCATGAAAGAACATCACAAAATTAGTAATATTCCAAAGTTTCGTTGCAAAATGTTGTAAAATGCGGATAATATAGCCTTGCGAAATTTGCAATTTTCAGTCATTTTGTATTACGAGCGGGAAACGGTTACCACTTTTCCAAAATCCTGATATTAACTAGCCTAAACAAAAATTTCATCACAGCTTGAAAGAGCATCACAAAATTAGTAATATTCCAAAGTTTCGTTGCAAAATGTTGTAAAATGCGAATGTAGCCTTGCGAAAATTGCAGTTTTCAGTCGTTTTGTATTACGGGCGGGAAACGGTTACCACTTTTCCAAAATTTTGATCTCAACTAGTCTAAACAAAAATTTCATCACAGCTTGAAAGAGCATCACAAAATTAGTAATATTCCAAAGTTTCGTTGCGAAATGTTATAAAATGCAGATAATATAGCCTTGCGAAGTTTGGAATTTTCAGTCATTTTGTATTGCTCACGGAAGTGGTAACCATTTCCCGTTTGTAATACAAAATGACTGAAAATTGCAAATTTCGCAAGGCTATATAGAGAATAATACATGGGTGCGCGGAAATACCAGCTTTATTTCGAGTGTTGAACATGATATCTCACGAGTGAGCGCAGCGAACGAGTGAGATATCATGTTCAACACGAGAAATAAATCTGGTATTTCCAAGCACCCATGTATTTTTCTGTTTATTATATAAACAAAATTCAGTGAAAAACAATAAATCGTCCGTGGCAATGCGTTTTACAACAAATGATATTTTCACACGTAAAAATATCGTATTTTTACGTGTATTTAAATACGATTTTTCTCAGTGGCCAAAAAGTCTATATAACACTTAATTATGTTTATATAATAAATAATATTATCTGCATTTTACAACATTTTGCAACGAAACTTCGGAATAGTACTAATTTTGTGATGCTCTTTCAAGCTGTGATGAAAATTTTGTCTAGACTTGTTGAGTTCAAAATTTTGATTAATATGGGATTGGTCCATTGGAGTGTAAAAGGTAAAACAGTTTTGGTGAGCGCGTGATACTGTATATACTTGATCATATCCATTATGTAATTTTGCGCTATGGTAATCTTAATTAATCTTAACTGTAGCTGATCTACAAATTTCCTGACGTGCCCGTTCGAAAGCCCGTATTCTAAAAGCTCACTCACACTCACACTCACACTCAATGAGTGGAGGTTCAATCTGAGCTTTTCTTGAGTGTCAATGCTGTTTTTGAATAGCTGGAGGGTGAGTAGTCACATAGTAAGGTACGACACTAACCTTCCAGCTATTCAAACACGGCAATGACACTCGAGAGAAGCTCACTCTCAGATTGAACTTCCACTCATTGAGTGTGAGTGAGCTTTTAGAATACGGGCGTAAGTTTTCAGTTGAAATTTCAAAAACCAAAATATTTTAAACCTGCATGCTACTTCTCTATGTAGGTCATTGAGCCAGAAGAAGTGTTTGAAAAAACAGGCTTGGCTTACCTGCACACCTCACATTGCCTGGCTAACGGTGATATCATGATCAGCGCCATGGGAGACCCTCAAGGACGAGCTAAAGGTGAGGAAAACGATGATTAGTGGTTCAGACAACAAGTATACTACTTATTTAATGGATGATTCGAGCTGCATGTAGACGAAATTTTTATCTAGACAGGAAGAACGAAAGCCATTACCATGGCTGGAAAGAGCATCTTAAAATGAGTAAAGTTGCAAATTTTGGTTGGGAAATGTTGTAAAATGAGGAAAATATAGCCCTGTGAAGTTCCCAAATTTTCTATATATTTGCATTACGCGCGAGAAAAATGACCATTTTTCAGCCGAAAGTGGTTATTTTTACCGCGCGTAATACAAATATATACAAAATTTGCAAACTTCACAGGGCTATATTTTCTTCACTTTACAACATTTCGCAACCAAACTTAGCAGTTTTACTCATTCTAAGACGCTCTTTCTAGCTGTGGTGTTGGATTTCATTCTTCTTGCCTTGATCAAAATTTAGTCTATAGCGGAAAACACCCATTAAGAGGCAATTTTTTCAAAACCGAAAATCGTTTTTGCATTCCTCTCAAAATTGCTTTGTTTTAGCTTTATTCTCTAGTTTATTTTTTAACAACCTTTTTAAATGCATTTGCCGGTTGAAAAACATAAAATAATAGGAAAAATTTTAATTATAAAATACAATTATCAACATTTACAGCAATATAAGCAAAGCTTATTGATCGAACTTCACATATCATTTTCTCTTTGGCGTACCATCTAAAATCTCTTCATTTTTTCACAGATAAAGCACTGGACATACTTTTTAAGTTTGTTTGCCGGTTGAGAAACATATCAAAAATTTAAAAGATTGAATATAGTCATAACCAAGTGGGAAAATATATTCCGTTAGTTTTGAGCGCGTGTTACGTAACATACAAAAGAATGATTTCTGATCGCCCAACATCCAATTGTGAAATCGTCATAACAACTCGATAGCTAGCTTCAATGGAATGACGGCATAACGTTGATATGAAAAATAATATTAAACGCCAATGACGACTGCCAACGGAGTGAGGAATTGTGTCACAAAACAAATGGCTACTTTGATGTTGATACAAACTGCGGTTTTATAATTCTTCACATCATGCTCAATCTCATTAATTAATAATTGTTGTAAATTTCACGCAGTTCACGACAGTATGTCACTGATCACTTACTCAATTTTCCAACCCCAGGTGGCTTTATTCTGGTGGATGGTAAAGACTACACAGTAAAAGGAAGATGGGAAAAACAAACCACGAAGTTTGGTTACGACTTTTGGTATCAGCCTCGACACAATGTCATGATCAGTTCCGAGTGGGGAGAACCTAATACCTTCATCACGGGCTATAGTCCACAGGATGTCGCTGATGGTATGTCCACCCAGTTAACTTTCTTGGAAATCCTGAAGCACCCCAACCTCAAATATCAATTAAAAAATAAATACCCATCCCTGGCCAAAAACTGTACAAAAGAATACCAATAAGTTGTCACACATGTCCTTTACCGCTTCTGTGACGTCGACACGAGTTTGATAACTGCTTGAGCAATTTTCGGCAGTCTAAAGTTTCATGTTGTCTGCACATGTACTTTCTTTGGAGACACCATCTGTCTCCTGAAAAATCGGAAATATTTGAGCGAGTCATGCTTTGAAAATGACAATAATTTTTTATTACCCAACAGTTTTCATTTACCCAACATTTTACTCACTCAAACTTTTTTTTACCCAACCCTTTTCCCTTTGGAGCCACCCTAGGGACACGCGCATTATGCCGGAATTTCTTCTAGAGTCAGGTAGGGGATTTTTCTGAAAACGGGAATAATAGGCAAAAGAGGGAATAGGGAAACGTTTCGGTATGACGTCATCCTGCAGCGTAAAATCCGTAATTAGCATATGCGTCATCCGCCCACGGGCCAGCGACGCGGCGTGCACGTGTGTTCCGTTTCTGAATACGTCGTGTACGTAGAACATTTGGACTAATAGCGTTAAGGAGTTTTCCAGTCCTCGCACGAAGCTCCTCGCAGCTCGCTGCGAATGTTTGCATCTAATCAAAATTAACTGTTTAGCATTGTGATTGGAGTGCTCATGCATGCACTCGCAGTGAGCTGCAAAGAGCTTCGTGCGAGGACTGGAAATCCGCCTTAATGCATTATTTGTTTCTTTAACCATTATGCAAATATTTAAAATAAAATTGAAAAGCTTGACGAAATTTCCAGCTCCACATTCATTATGTAAATAAAGTTCTTATTTGCTCCTGGCCTTGATTCGACTTCTTGTGGAATAATTTTGGAATAGGGGAAAATTTTAAGAATAAAGTTAAGGGAATTAAGGAATAGAATAACGGGCAAATTTTCGAGCATAGTGTGCGCGTCCCTATACCACCCCACGTCCATAAATAATGACCGGTCCCTAAGTGTATTTTTCATTTCAGGTAAATACGGGCAAAGCATCCATGTTTGGGACTGGACAACGCACGAACTGAAGCAGAGCATAGACTTAGGCGATGACGGAAAGATTCCACTGGAGTTGAGATTTTTACACAATCCTGACGCCGACTTGGGTTATGTTGGCTGTGCGTTGTCAAGTACCGTCTTTGCCTATTATCCTGGGAAGGTAGAGAGATTTTAAAAGAAATCAGTGGTTTTCTAAGGCCAAGTCATTCTTATTGTTACACTGTGTGCAAGGGCGGCGCTAGGCCTCCTTCAATGGGGTGGGGGAGGGGAGGGGGGCAAGGTATAGTTTTGCCGAGTCGACATTAGCTTGCATGGTATGTATTAGCCCATGTGCATGGATGCGCGCATTTACTAAACTTTGGTTAGCATTACATACACACGGATTACGCGAAGGTCACCACTTTCACAATAAAGCTGTCAGATCTCTCAACTATGGAGCGTTTGCACTCATTCCCCAAGGACCAACTCAACAAAAGCCATGGCGGCCATGTTGGTGTTCCAGACGAAAGAGTCCAATTAAAATTCTTTTGAATTAAAACACCAACATGGCGGCTGTGACGTCATGTGCAAACGCTCTATACTTGACTGTTTTAAACTAACAGAGTTCCGTAGGGGGTTCGGGGGCATGCACCCCCTGAAAAATTTTGAAATCAATGGGTCTCTAAAATGGCATTTCTTCCGTTCAGTATGGGGAAGATTTCAAATGACTACCTCAACGATTGAAACAGATCCTAACCACCCAAAACCAACTCGTCTGCATTTATTATATAGGCTGTTGCCGTTTGGCTTTTAAATTACCCGCTACGACTCGATGGAACACATTTTCAAGATATCTATTCACCTGACTTTTTGAAGCATTAAGTTTTATATTTAAATTCACGTTTGGTTTTAATTCAATTCAATAATTCGGTCCATATCCATGTAAATAACTCAATTTTTGCCGAATGGATGCACCAATTTGCAGACTCGTTCATGTGTGTGTGTGTGTGGGGGGGGTCTACTCTCCTCCCCCCCCCCCACACACCAACTACCTGAACACTGTAAGCAGAATGTCGACGTTTCTATCTACCTTCCCGACGAAGAGCCTTCGCTCGAAACGACAAAGTTCTGCCAATATTTTTCAGGTAGTTGCAGGGACGGCGCTAGAGGGGGTGTACGGGGGGGGGGGGGAAGAACACCCCCACACACACACTCATGAACGAGTCGGTATCTCTCTCACACCGCAACGACTGCGAGGGCATTTGCTGCATGATAATGAAACCCGGCTGTTGTTTTAGAATGGTGAATGGGTAGCTGAAAAAGTCATTTCTGTTCCCAAGAAAACGGTCGAAGGATGGTCTGAACCAGAAATGTCAGGTATATAAAACATCATGCCAAATTATAGCGCTCTTCAACCTCGCGTCCCCAGAGCATTTTGCCTCCACGGCGACCTTCAGCCGTGATCACAGTAGGAATTTCTGTGATCACAGTAGGAATTTTGCATGGGTAAATTCTAAGTTTTGAAGATTTGTAAGAAATGTTGGAGGAAACTGACTCAGTGTTAAACACCGAGTCACTTCCTTCAAACATTTCTTACAAATCCTTCAAATCTTAGAATTTGCCAAAGTATGCAAAATTCCTGATAGTGTAAACCAGCCTTTGTTTTTTGTATGAAGACAAATGTTCTCTTTCTAGGTATCATATCAGATATCTTGATCTCCCTGGATGACAGATTTTTATACTTCAGCACATGGCTGCATGGTGATATTCGACAGTATGATATTACTGACAGACTTCATCCGAAACTCGTTGGACAGGTGAGATGTCATGAAGGCGAAATGCAGGGGTGGATCTAGCCTCATCTGCAAGGAGTGGTGCAGGTTTTCCATGGGGTGATGCATGCAGAGTGAGCCTTAGGCCAGGATCAAACGTCGAACTTTTCATGTGCCGAACCTAATGTTAATGAGCTAAGTTCTTTGTTTCACTTCATTTGTCCTCTGCAGTCTACAGCGCTACGATCCTAACATTACCATCATTTGAGATGGCCGAATCTGCATGTTCGCCGTTCCGTTCCGTATCTTGTTTATGAAGTTTATATCCGCCTTTTATCACGCATGTGTGACTGGACAGTTGCTGTAGCACAGTATAGTAAATTTGCTTGTTAAAGTAGAGTATGTTTGAAAATATGGCATGCATAATATTTAACTATAATTTTGTTTTTCTCAACCGCCAGAGATACATTTAAGAAGGTTGCTAACTGTGTAAACTACAAAATAAAGCTAAAACAAAGTAATTTCGCGAGAAACGCCAAAAAATTTTCATAAAAAGTGGCCTCTTAAAGACAACCTCTCTATAACCCACCATATTTCAAATCAATATGGGAACTGCCATTTCTAGATCTTTCTTGGAGGAAGTATAATCAAAGGTGGGCCAGTTAAAGTGACAAACGATGTTGAACTAAAGGAACAACCTGAAGCTGCTTATGTTAAAGGGAAGAAGATTCAAGGTGGGCCTCAGATGATCCAGTTGAGTTTGGATGGAAAACGACTGTATTTCACCACATCTCTATTCAGCGTTTGGGATAAACAGTATTACCCCGAAATGACAAAGTAAGAATAAATATATTTTTATAATTGAAAAACTTAACAGCTTAGATTACGTTTGGTTGTTATGAAATGAAATTACTAGAGAATCCATGCAGGTGTTTGATGAACAATACAAATGCACTACTTCCTTCAAAAACTGATTAATAATTCATGAGGAAAACACAAAGAACGGAAAATCATAAGCGTGTCGTATCTTTATATATGATAGAGATTTCCCTCCTTGATTTACATAAATTTTAACTTTGATTTTCTCGACTTACACAACGTATTTTTTGAAAATTACTTCGGCAATGAACTTATACTAGATCGATCGCTTTTGCAGCAATTAGTAAAACATTCGCAGTACGTGTTTTATCAGACCTAAAGATACTTGGCTTCGCCTCGTATCTTTATATTTGATAAAACACTGTTACTCATGTTTTAAATATAGTATATAGCCACTTTGTACTCGTACTATATACTGCAAAATAAGTCACTCAAAGTTTAGACAATAAACATTTTCGTTTCATATGTTAAAGGTAGGACTAGAAACAGGGCCCGATACTCAGGCTAGCAAAGCTTGACGGGCCATTTCCACTCAAGAAAAGTTCCACGGACAGAAATTTTTCCGAAAATATCTTTGTTAAAAGTTGAAAATTTTCAACTTCAAAATTTTTTTTCCGACGGAAAATTTGTGTTGGCCAATGGCAATGACATTTTACAAATTTTTCTTTCCGCGGAAGTGGGCCATAAGATACGTGTGGCACTGAATTTTTTTTTTAAATCCTTACTATGGAAATAGTATTGAAGTTAGTTGAAAATAGTATGGAAATACAATTTTCCGGCATACTGATTTGCAATTTGCATATCATGGATATAGTGTGGAAATAGTATGGATAGACTATGGATATACTATGGATAGACTATGGATATACTATGGATATAGTATGGATATACTATGGATATAGTATGGATATAGTATGGATATACTATGGATATAGTATGGATATACTATGGATATAGTATGGATATAGTATGGATATAGTGTGGAAATAGTATGGATATACTATGGATTTAGTGATGCAATCGCAAATTCCGGTGTATGTTTATAAAAATTCCATCATTTTCCTCTAGCAAAGGTTCCATGATGTTAAAGGTCGATGTGGACACAGAGAAGGGAGGCTTAACATTGGATAAAGATTTTTGTGTTGATTTTGGCGACGAACCGGACGGTCCAGCTCTTGCACACGAGCTCAGATACCTCGGTGGTGATTGTTCTTCAGACATATGGATCTAACAATGCTTTTGTTTTATATTACGATTAAATGTTCTGACTACGTATAATGGAAACTGTATGTAGAGTCAATATCTTGAATTATTAGTGTGTGAACCATAGATGTCTTATATACACTAGATAGTGCATCTAATTATTCTGCGGCAATTCAAAAATTGAAGCCGTGATTGCAGACTCAGGATATTCCCATGAAATGAGAAGACTCGTATGTTTTCTATTTCTTAAACAGGGAACTAAACATTAAGTTAAACCTATTCCAAATACATTTTCAAACTATTCAAATTGTGAAAGTTATTGTTGTTTCTTAAGCGTTTATTAGCGAGTGGGAAACTCCAACATGCCCGTCATCTATTCAAATGATATTCTTGGCTTCAATTTCACTAAAAGAGATGCGCTATCTAGTGCACTCTAAAAAAAGGTGTGTTAATTTAACACACCTTTTTGTCCAAATTTTAACACACCTTAAGGTGGGTTTTAAAACACACCTTAAGGTGTGTTT